TAAAGTGAACAAGAAAACACAAGAGGCAGAAAAGTACTTTTTAAAAGCACCTTGACAGTAGTTCTAAATAGACTAATATAAACTACAGAAAACCATCCATCAGAAATGTTGGCAAAAAATAAACTAAGGTGGCGCCTGGGGCTCAGTGGGAAGGGCACCGGCCCCATATACTGAGGGTGGTGGGTTTGGCCAAACTGCAACAAAAATAGCCAGGCCTTGTGGCAGTCACCTGTAGTCCTAGCTACTTAGGAGGCTGAGGCAAGAGAATTGCTTAAGCCCAGGAGTTGGAGGTTACTGTGAGCTGTGATACCATAGCCCTCTACCAAGGGCAATAAAGTGACACTCTGTCTCTAAAAAATAACTAAATAAACAAACAAACTCATCTTTCTTTGTAATTAAATTCTTAATATCTACTGTGTCTAGTTATTAGAAAAGGAGAATAATTGGCTTGGTGCCTGTAGCTCAGTGGCTAGGGCGCCAGCCACATACATCAGAGCTGACAGGTTCGAATCTAGCCCGGGCTTGCCAAACAACAAAGACAACTACAAACAAAAAATAGCTGGGCACAGTAGCGGATGCCTATAGTCCCAGCTACTTGGGAGGCTGGGGCAAGAAAATCAATTAAGCCCAAGAGTCTGGGGTTGCTGTGAGCTGTGACACCACAGCCCTCTACTGAGGGTAACACAGTGAGATTGTCACAAAAAAAAAAAAAAAGAAAAGAGAGAATAATTAATTCATTGTTTCAACAATAACAATTATATACAATTGATTCAGAGAAAAGTTGATATGGGAAGATCAAAAAGTTGACAATCATCTTTGCTTTCAAGTTTCAAGAAACAAATTAACAGAGATTTACTGGTAACACAAGGAAAAGAAGGGGAAACATATTTGAGGACTAAAAGAAAAGTAAAACCACCAATAAGTTCAAGGTGTGGTGTATGTGTAATAGCAAGGTTCTTGAAGGAAGTATACTTTTCAATAACTAAGTGCATCACTGTTGAAATAACTGAATGTACTATTCTCTATAAAAGCAAAACATTCTCCCTATGAGGTCAGGTAGACTAGAATGGTAGTTTGTACAGTTCTATTACAATATCTAAATATTGAGTAAAAACAAGCAAATATACACCAACAGAAATCAAATTATTACAGAATAAAATGTAAGCTATGCTTAACAGAATAACCTAAAATGTACTATTTATAACAGGTGCCTTAGGAACCTAGCCAGAGCTGTTTCAATCACTATACTACTAAGAAAAAGGGCCACTGATAAAATAATTTTACCATTAATACTACTCCCTGCAAGAAGAGAGAAGGGTTAGCTGAGTTTGAACAATACGTAGTTTTAATCTATTGCTACCATATCCCCCAAATTTGAAGAGAAAATGTGCCAGAACTGCAGCAACTTTCAATTTCTACCATGTATGAGATGACAAAATATAAACATGTCCAATTTTATTACAGCTTCAAATAAAGGGAGACAGGTCACAGGATGACAATGGTCAAGCTAGTCCTATTTGGTGGGAGTGGTGCCACTTATCCTTTCCTGCCACAACTGCCTTCTATATAACTTGACTACAAGTAGGAGGAAACTAGCACTACAAACTCTGGATGCCCTATGGCTTTACTTATCTGCTTTCCTGTAGTTCCACATTGTTCTGCAAAACAGATTCATTTAATACCACCAGGAGGTGCAACAATTATGGAAAATATTCCCCCACTTCCAGAAAGTCTTCAAGGTTTCAAAAGCTAATATTTGAAATATATTATTATATATACTTAAGAAATGCTAACATACTGAATCTAAGCATGGCTCCAAGAAACACATTTTGAAAGAGTACATTTTTCTTCCTGAAGTACCAGGTAGGAATATATACTCAAAGTCTTAGTTTCCCTGAGTCATGGGCTATACTTACTGCATAAAACATTTAAATATAACATTTATTGATCTCTACTTTTTAAGAAAATTTCCCTTTCCAGTTTAAATGGTCTCGGGAGGATAATGACTTTCCAAAATTTGTCTGCTATTATTAAATACTAGTTTCAAATATTTCTCCATGATGGAAACTTGTTTCTTCAAATAGCCAATGAAGCTGGAAAAAGTCTTATTCTAGCTCAGTCTTCTGATTTATAGATAAGGAACCCAAAGTCTGGAGATTCGTGATTCTGCCTAAAATCATATCTATGGCTAAGTTTAAAAGGCAGTGTCAGAATTTGAACCCAGACATCCAAATCTCCTAACCAGTGCTCTTCCTGTTATACAAACCCTCTTTCTATTAATATACCTATCAAAGCAGTCCTTAATCACTTCACTGTTTCTTCATTTACAAGTTTCCTCATTATTTTACCCCTCTAATAATCAGAGCAGACACTCTTCTGGATCTGCTTCCTTCCCATTATGCCATTTTCAGGTGCAGAGTCTAACGGGACATAATGCCACAGGTACATGGTTCTGCAAGATGCTTACAGTTTAGAGAATTTCTTCTCTTCCTGCCAGTAAAAGATAAAAACTAAATCCTGAATACTCATCAGTAAAATAACCTCATGTTCTAATCTTAATGTGTGTCAGACACCCATGAAAGCTTTAAAAAGTCCTTGGTGGTAACATTCTTATTATGTTCTTGAAAAACTTGGCTCAGATCTACATCCTAAGTTGCGTAGTAAAAAAGAAAACACGTTATTTTTCAACAAGCGCTCTTCCATTAGATGACTTGTTAACTACTCACATGACAAATTCAACTGGAAGTACTTAAAGAATAGGATTATAATATAGATGACAAAACCAAACAAATATGAAAGGAAAACAACAGCAGGAAAATATTGCCTTATTTCTATCTTCTGAAAAATGTCAGCCTCTTCAAATTTTTGAGTATCACAAATTTAGTCCTCTAAAATAACAAGGTGTTTCTTAGCACTTTTCTTTTGCTGTTCTCTGATTCAGAAATAAAGAGGTAGTTTTCTGAGGTCTTCTGATGGACTTTTAAAAATGAAAGTCAGTCTCCTAATCTTTATACAATATATTAAAACAATATTCAATGAACCTGAATGTGGAAAAGAATCATTATTTATTTCATCTTTGGCAAGCAAACAAGAAACCAGCCCCCCAAAATCTGTGGGCTTCAAGGTCAAATGAATAGTTGGAAAATTACTAAAGCAAATCACTTTTTAAACTTAGAGCTCCTCCCTTAATGAAGTTTATCCCACTCTAAATGCAGAACACTTTCCATAGTTCCAAAAGTATATTGATCTAAATATACTATGTTAATGGCTTTATATGCAATCTAAACCCTTAGCCTTTAATCTTCACAACAAAATTTATGATATTACTACTGTATTTTCATTTTGCACCAGAGAAAACTAGGGTACTGAGAGGTCAGGTTAACTTGTCCAAGGTTACAAAGCTTGACCTGAGGTCTGCAGGTTCTGAAATCTGTGCTCCTTCGGCACTCTATTGCTTTCTCAGTAGCACAGAAAATTTGAAAATAAAATACTAAGTTCTATCTGATGCATTATCCAAGCCATTAAGAATTATTTAGTTTTCTGGTGTCCAGGAAACAGTTTGCCATCTACACTTCCTGATTTTAGGGTAAGGTAGGTGGCATAACTGAACTCTTTTTCTCACCACACTTATTGCGTAATTACTCAAACTCAAAAGGAAGAGGACTGGTTAAATTTTTAAACTTTATTTCCTGCTGAACTAAGAGATCTTACTTAATCACTGTTATATGTGATCTTATCAATTTAAATGTTAAGGTTTTCCCAGTGTAGTAAGACACTAAAATTATTTTAGTCTTAAAGGAAATCAACTACGCACTGGACATTTTACCTGTTAAGGAAGTTAAAAGCAGATCAACAGGATGTAAACCTGGCTTCTTTTCTTCTTTCAAGAAAATTTCATAATGACTTCTTAATTAAACCAATGGAGCAAGTAGCCCACCAAAAATAAAATGTAGGAAACAGAGGAAAAGAATCACAAGAAGTTATATGATTTACTTTCACTAGTGTTAGAAAAGCATAGGATGAGTCTCCTCTTGAGTAACTTCAGCCGGACCACAATGGCCACTTGTTACACCTACCACCCACTCCAACATTTCAGGTTTACTGGGAACTAAAAAGAGCTCAGCAAGGTAAAAGACATACTCCAACCAGGCCTGAAGTCTCTCTGTACCACACCCTGAGGACACTGAAGCCCAGGGCACTGCGTCCCCCACCTCTAAAGCTTCCCACCTGCCCAGGGAGAAGACAGTCCAGAGGCCAAGACAGTCCTCCGGCCAGGGCAGTGACCCAACTCCAGAGAATCCACCCCTTCCTGACCACAACGTCCGCACTCAGGGGTGAAGGTAGAAGGAACAGGAAGGACTGGAAAGGAGAGAAAGGAACTAAAACGCCTTTTGAAACGAAGGAGGGAGCAAAGGAGGGGTCTCTCCCCAGGCTCGCCAGTGGGGACGAGGCCCGTGGTCACCGAGGGAGCCGACAGCCGCCATGATGAGGCTCGCTGAGCCGGGGGGCGTGACGCGGACAACCCCCTGCTCGGGGCCAGTTCCCTTTCACCTCTTACCCCCTCCCCGCGTGGGCCTTGGCCACAACTGCCCCCCGATACTCACGCTTTGTCCACCAGCTCCCGCACCTTCCACATGTTCAACATCTTGCCCCGCGCGGGCCAGGCCGCCACCTCCCTCTCCTGCTCCCCACAGACCCCGGGACACTTCCGTGCCGGGGCAAGTCCAGGCCGGGGTCGCTGCCGCCCGCCGCCTCGAACTCCCCCAGTCAGCTCCTTGCCCTGCCAGAGCCGCCAGCCGCCGGTGACACGTCGAGACGCGGCGGCAGAAGCGCTGCGTGGAGCGGAAGTGCCCGGTCTTCCGCTGCTGCGCGCGGGGCACGCCGGGACTTGTAGTTTTCTCTGGTCTCTGAGGGGGCCGGTTAGTATAGTAGCCCAGAGCGGATGTGCTCAGCCAACCTGGGATGGTTTCTCCTAAGGTGTCCGCGTCGGTGCCCCAGAACTACTGAGCCAGAAACTCTGAGGCTGGGGGCCCACCGATCTGTGCTTCAACTAATTTTCCAAGGAATTCTGATCACGCTCAAGTTTCAGGACCGCTGGTGTAGGATCTAGTCACCGTCAAACATTCTTCTCAAAAGTCAGGTATTATTATGTTGTTAGTCATGATTACACGGAAGTGTGATTGGCATATGTCTTTCTCATTGACGGATACAACGTTGTATTTATTTACAAATGTACAAATACACTTAAATCTCTCAGCCTTAGTTTCCACCCCGTATATTGAATACGTATATTGTATCAGGTGTATTCTAAATCCTTTTCCTTTCTGATTCTGATACAATGATTTTATAGACCCCCCCACATTGATTTTTTTTTTTTTTGAGACCTCCAACTCTTGGGCTTAAGCGATTCTCTTGCCTCAGCCTCCCAAGTAGCTGGGACTACAGGCACCCACCACAACGCCCAGCTATTTTGTGGTTGCAGTTGTCATTGTTGTTTAGGAGGCCTGGGCTGGGTTCTAACCCGTCACCCTCTGTGCATGTGGCTGGCGCCCTAACCACTGTACTACACCCGGAGCCCCTCTGTGATTCTCTTGTTAGATACTTTATTATAAACCTCACAAACTCAGTTCACACTCCATGGGAAACTAGAAAGACAGCAAAATACACACACACACACACACACACACACACACACACATTGTATTCCATACACCCAAGAACTTGGCAAGTTTAGTTTCTATATGTTGTAGGCTGTACTTTCAGTGTTTATTGCAATGGATTCCATCACTTTTGTTTTTACTCATTTTTGCCAATGTTCATGTTAAACCTTTGAGCAAACTTAAATTTTATTTGGTCCAATTGCTTAAATTTTACGAGTCTTTTCATCCTACAAATATTTATCAAGCATCTTCTGTGTGCCAGAAGTAAGGAAAACAGCTAGGGCCTTAGTTCTTTTGAAGTGGAAAGATCACTGGAGGAAACATAATAATCAAGGAAATGTTTGAGACAATTGCCCATACTAAGTGCTGGCAGAAAACAAGATGATATTATAGAAAATGATGTTAGAGGAAAATAACACCGAGAAATGTGTAAGGCCTCTTTGAGGATATTACAGTTAAACTGAAACTTGAATGATAAAAATGAGCTGACGATAAGAAGAGCTCTCCAAGAAAAGAATTCTTGGAAAGGCCAGGCGCAGTGGCTCATGCCTATAATCCTAGCACTCTGGCAGGCCAAGGCGGTTGGATTGCCTGAGCTCACAGGTTAGAGACCAGCCTGAGCAAAAGCAAAACCCTGTCTCTAAAAATAGCCAGGTGCTATGGCAGGCACCTGTAGTCCCTGCTACAGGAGGCTAAGACAAGAGAATCGCTTGAAAACAAAAGTTTGAGGTTGCTGTGAGCTATGATGCCAGAGCACTCTACCAAGGGCAACAAGTGAGACTGTCTCAAAAAAAAAAAAAATTATTGGTAGAGAGAACAGATGAAGAGATAAAGACCCTATTTCCCAAAAAAGTGAAATTTGTGGTTGCATCATGAAGCTAGGTAATAATAATCTCAAATCAAAAACCTCGGAGCTGGCCAAGCCAAGTTACTCACATCTGTAATCCTAACACTTTGGGAGGCTGAGGTGGGTGGATTATTTGAACTCAGGAGTTGAAAACCAGCCTGAGCAAAAGTGAGACCCGACAAAAAATACAAAACAAAAAACCACTAGCTGGGCATTGTGGCAGTCACCTATAGTCCCAACTACTCTGAAGGGTGAAGCAAGAGGATTGCTCAAGCCCAAAGGTTTGAGGTTGCTGTAAGCTACACTGATGCCACAGCACTCTAGCCAAGGCAACAGAGTGAGACTCTCTCAAAAAAAAAAAAAAAAAAAAAAACCTGGGAAGGAGCTGGGTGCAGGGGCACTTGCCTATAATCTCAGCTACTTGGGAGGCCAACGCCAGAGGATAGCTCAAGGAGCTTAAGACCAACCTGAGCAACAAAGGGAGACCAAGTTTCATAAAAACGAAACAAACAAACAAACAAAAAACTCAGAACATCTGATGCCTCACATCAAGGCACTTCTCCAAACAGCATCTACTTAGTAGTTACTAAAAGCAGTTTTGAAAGGTGTTTCTGTAAGGCTTTGGGCTTAAGACCCCAAGAGAAGCAAGTGAAACAAATTGACAGGTGGAAAAGTACAAAGAGGAAAAATCAAGACAAAGTTATCTCAGAGCTTTCTTAAGATAGGAGTCCTTAGGCTGACCCAAAGTGAGATGGAGAGGTGGTGGGGAAGAGCAGGTAAAGATAAGCAGAGATAAGTAGGGGAGAAAGGCTCTCAAACGAAAAGTTTGTGTTTTATATTCAAAGAACTGTCCAGCCCTAGATTCAAAGGATGTAATGTGGCCACTGGAGACGAGAAAGTAAAACTATTTTGCATAAATAAGAGCTCAGCAAGTTAACTTTCAAACAAGGGAGTACACAGTACACCTGCAGAATGGGCCTGGCACAAAAACAACCACCTTCCCTGCCCTGTCCTGTTTATGTGTTCACAGCAGTGCACAGTCAGCTTCACCAGAGTTATCCAAAGAATATAATATTATTGTCTACTGTGCTCATTCCAACACCAAGTTTGGGCTTAGACTTATCCTGGAGTTGTTACCTATGGCATTTTCATAGTCAGCTGGGACCATCTAGAATGTAATACCAAAAAAATTGTCTGTCTACCTTTGATTCAAGAGAACTAAGAAAAACCAGACCAGGAGAGTTTGTTAAAAAGTGGTCTCCAGAGATAACCATTTGCATGTCAACAAAGTGTTCCATTTTTACCTTTTATCTTGCAAGTTTCAGAGCAGTTTCCATAGTAATTTCTTTGTGGCAAATATGTGGCAGAAAAATAAATGAGAAAATGCCCCACCTACCCCTCTTCAGTAAAAAAAATATTTTCTACTAAATGAGCTGACACTTTCAGTAAAGCCAAGCCAACACATGTTGGGGAGAAAAAAAAACATACTCAACTGTATTAATTACCTGTGAGAAGCAATGCAGACTATAGACGCTACTTATCTCCTGTTCCACCGGTTCCCTGGTGTTTCCTTAGGAGGAGTTTACTTCATAGTCTAAACCTCCTTTTAAGAGAACCAGTTGCAAAAAGTGTGGGTCGCTGACAAGTTCCAGCTGTCTTCCTCTGGGATCATTTATGCCAAGGCCATTCTCTCTCTGGGCTACTCCTAGCAATGACTGAGCAAAGTATTATGGGACTGGCCTGTTTCTGCCCAGGGCTGGCTGGACTCCTCTACTGACAATTACTGACCTGGGCTTTCTGTCAACTTCACCCAAATTTCCTGGGAGCTTTGCTGCAATTGGACGCTCTTCCTACCCCATCTTTCTTCCTGAGCTCTCTCTCTCCGTAGGTATCAGAACTCCCCATCTAATCTTGCTCTCTTTTCCCTTTTTCCTTCATAGACATTCCCCTTAATAAATCTTACACTTCTTTTTTTTTTTTTTTTTT